GACTGGCACAGGAGAGCCCGACCACGCTGCCTCTCACGGGGGACGTGGTGCAGAGCTCGGAGGGAGGCGGGCGCCCTCACACGCTCACACCGTCAGGCAGTACCGTAAAATACACCAGAAGCATGGCAAAATAAGTGCTTATTTCTATGAGACATGAACTTTTAAAAAAAAATATACTTTCTATAGTAAATGTTATTTTAGAGGCTGCCTTGGTAATTAATAGTCATTTTACAAGTCCTTAGGAATATGATTTAACAGTCCAGGAGTGATGGTTTAATGCCTTCTTATATACTTTTCTGCAATTACCAGGACGTTTTCATTTTGAATTGTAGATGTGTTTTTGGTGTTTTTTTTTTTAAACTTAATTTGTGGTTTGAATCTTGCTTTAGAATTTTTGTAATCTTGAATATTTTCAGAATGTGTAAATATTTGCTGAGGAGACCACGGCGTCTGTAGCATTTTAAGTGGGAACTTGTTTCCTAATTCTTCGTAATTTTAGGAAAAGAGCCACCAGGTTGCCTGAGCTCTCTTTTATCTAGTACAAATTAAAACTCTTGTGACAGTAAATTACCCTTTCCTAGTCTTTCACAAATTTTTAAATAATAACATTTCTAAATAAAGTATTGGAAATAAGGAGAATGTTGTAAATGTAGGCGTTTTTGAAGGAGATTAAAAGACAGGTCTTTATTTTATTGACATAGAGTTGATTTACAATGTGTTAATTTCTGGTGCTCAGCAAATTGATTCTATATGTATGTGTGTGTGTGTGTATTCCTTTTCATGCTCTTTTCCATTATGGTTTATCACAGCATACTGAATGGCATTCCCTGTGCTGCACCCAGCAGAACCTTGGCGCTCACCCATCCTGCGTATAATAGTTCGCTCTACTCATCCCAACCTCCCACCCCACCCCTCCCCTGCCTCACCCACCCCCACCCTGGCAACTGCATGTCTGTTCTCTCTTTCTGTGAGTCTGTTTCACAGATAAGTTCATTTGTGTCATATTTTACATTCCACATATCAGTGACATCACGGGTATTAATTTGTCTTTCTCCTTCTGACTTACTTCCCTTGGTATGATAATCTCTAGGTCTGTCTCTTTACCTGTAAATGGCATGTCATTCTTTCTCATGGTTGAGGAATATTCCATTGTATATACGTATCACATCTTTAAAGACTTAAATCTTGAACCTTCTAGAACAACTTCGTCCAGTGTTGGAAGTTAGTGATATAATAAATAATACCTAAATTATTTTCTTTTGTGTTGTTTTTATAATTACTACTCCGGCAGCCATTTCCTTGAATGTCACCTTTTTTCCCCCAAATGGTTTTGACGTTGATCCTGTCATCTGACTATATAAATGACATGAAGAGGACATCATTCAGTGCTCTGTTATAGATAACAGGATGAATACCTAGCAGTTAGAGTGCCTGAATTTGTCTGGGGGACTGAGGAAAAGTTATCCTCTGTGAAGAGACGTTCTAATTTCAGACTAGATTGAGCCGAGACTGCCAGCAGCTAATCCAATAACTCAGCGGTGTTCTGGAGATTCTAGTCAGTTAGAAGACAAAAGAAAGTAGGTATATCTACTGGAAAGGAAGGAACAAAATTAACATTAGAAATAGTAGATCCAAAAGATCATCCAAAAAGTTACTAGAATTAAAAATAGTTATAGGAGTGACTGGACACAAAATAAATGTCCGTGGGTGAACTGTGTGTACACATATGTGCTTTTCTGTAATAGAAAAATATCCCATTCCTAACGCCAGCGAAAAGGATGACATTCCTAGGAATAAGCAAGACGTGCTCACATACAGTCTATATGGAGAAAGTCCTAAAACTTTTACTGAAGAACATAAAAATTCTGGAAAAATTGCTTCTTTTGGTGGGGATAGGAATTGTTGCTGTTGTAAAAATGCCAATTTAGGAATTGAACACAACCAGTCAAATCCCTATTTATTTTTCTTGGAACTTGACAGAGCCATGCTGAGGTTTGTGTGATGAGTAAATGTGTGATGATAAGTAGTACAGTTCTGAGCAAATGCACTGTTTGGGAGAGTCACCGTGAGAAACGCTGAGTCCCGCCAGCAGCCTCTGAGGGCTGCAGCTTCCGCGCCCTCAGCCGCGCTGGCTGTTGCCTCTTCGTTTCTCTTATGGCCACCGTGGTTCGAGTGTGCATGTCCTGATGGCCTGAAGATCTTTTCCATGTGTTTATTCGTTGCTATTGTTCTGTGTCTGGTGAAGCTCTTTCTTTTGACTTCTTGACTTCTTCCTGTTTGTAATCAAACCTATGTGAGGATTCATCTTAGTTTTTGTAATGATCCTATGAGGGCTAATGACCGTTTTTGCCACGCAGATGTCAGAGAATTGCAAATACCAGTGATTTTTCAAAGAGTTTTCAAGAGCATGTTGGGAATGTGACGTTGGAATGACAGCACCTCAGAAGTCCGGTTCCTTCTGGCTGTCGTCAGCAGCCGCGGTGCTGGCTTCTCTGCCTTCCGTGTTTCCTCCCCTGCGTCCTACCCATGACTCCAGCTGAAGGTGTCTCAGCCGTTTTCCCATAAGATGTTTTTCGACATCCAGCTTTCCTTAATCTCTCCCTCCAGATCAAATGATCTCCAAGCCAGGAGTGACCACCACGGCTGTGTGTTGGCCCAGAGCCCTCCCGCTACTGCTGAGAGGGGTACCTTAAGTCATGTTTTACGTTCCTCCCCACTCGGCATCTCAATACCATCACACAGAATGAAAACACCGCAGGTGCCCTCCTCGCCCCGACCCACACCCCTCCTCGCCCCGCCCCCTGATGGGGGTGGTAGGGGGGCGGTGGCAGGGCAGGCTTTGTGCCCTGGCCTCTGCTGAGACCAGGCCGTTTGTCCTCTCCTTGGTCTGCACCCCTGACCCGGGGAGCCTGCGTGTGTTTCCTTTCGGGAACAGGGTTGACTTAGGGCATGGACGGGCATGCTCTCTCTGCTGAGGGCTGCCCAATGACTGAAGATGGTCATGAGAGCCCCTGCCCCCTGCAGGGGCAGGCACGGCTCCAGTGCCCTGAGGTGGGGGGAGCCTCCTGGGCGTGTGCTGGGCTCGCTGGCCATAGCCTCCCGGTCCAGACCCCCTCCCCGTGTGTGCCGAAGTGCCTGGCAGCCGTGGCAGATTGTCGATGCCTGCTCAGTAGGCCAGAGGGGGCCTGGGATTCTGCATTTCTGATCAGCCCCGGGGAGGGGGTGGTGTGTGGCACAGGTCAGACTCTGGATAGTGAGGGCAGGCGTCACAGTGTGGTTCTTGGTGTTGCCAGCACCCGGACAGCCTGCAGCTGATGGCAGCGGTGGTGGGCAGCTCATGGCCAGGATCGGCGGAGGTCCCGGAGCCCACCCTCCCACATGCAGCTGCTCAGAGACCCTCTCGTCCTGCCAGGGCTTGCCTTCCATGTGGGAAACAGACAGGTGGGGCTTCTCCAAAACATCAGAGGGTGCGCAGTGCCCGGGAAAGAAAAGGGGCAGGGGGAGGGGAGGGGAGGGGACAGCTGGCTGTCAGGTGGCGTCCGAGTGGAGGAGGGGAGGGGCTCCGGGAACCAGGGCTCTGCAGGCGGTTAGAAGCTGGGACTTGGGCTCCACCGGGGCCGCAGTGACCCTGCTCACCTGGACACTTGAGGTTGCTGGTGCCCCACTGGAGGGAGACCAGGCTGTCCGAGTCTGGAAATGCTTGGGGGGCACTCGTGGTGTAAGTAATATTTCTGAGACCTGGAAACATGGTTGTTCTGTGTTTAATTGAAAAAGAAGTTTGATTTTGGTTTTAGATCCAAATTTTGAGTATAAAAAAATAAATGGGGTCAGGGGCATGGTAATGATTTTCACCAAAATGTAATAAGCACTTATCTCTAATTAAAGGGGACTTATTTTTATTTTTCCTACTTATGTAAACACGTACACGACTTTTGTATAACATAAAAACTTTTCCCTGTTTCTCTGTGTGGTTTTACTGCATGTCCTTTATTCCATCAAGATCATTCATTTGCACTGCATTTTATAGTTAATAATATACAGTTTGTACTTTACTATGTCCACAAAATGCCTCTTCACTGTGTCCTTCTAGTTAATTGTATGTCCAGTCAATGAGAACACAGGATCCTTTGAAGTCCAGGATTCATTTTGGTTTTCTCTCTGCTCCATGTTGTAGCAGACGCTTCCTGAGTTTCATTAAGTTGTTCTGATTTTTTCGAGCAGTGACTGGGCCTCCTCCAACACAGTTTCCCCGCGCTAAGCCTGCAGAGATTGATCATTAGCACGACCGAAACACTAGGAATGTCTGTCTTTCAGGTTCCGTGTCGTCTTCGTCGTGTTCTCTGCTTCTGTTCCCTTCCCAGATACGCTCCCTCTTGGACTATCAGAAAGTTCCCAGTCTGAGCTAGAAGCTGTAATCGCAGAGCTCACTTTTGCCCTTACTGCTGCCAGTATTTCAGTTAGATAAGTAGCCTTCTACGTAAACAGTTGTAGGAAGGCGGGTCCCTTGGGGTTGATTGTGTGTTGTATGTGGTTGGGGGAGGGGGAGGACCCATCCACGTGTGGGGCTGCCTCTGGGCTGTGTGGGAGAGGCCCCTCCAACAAAGCCTGCTCTGGATGCCTCAGACCCGAGTTGCTGTTGTTAGAAGTGTGTATGAGTAGTCCATAAGAATTAGGATTGATAGCAATGATTTGCAACAGCAGTGTTCCTTAAAGGCGTGTTGTTTTTAATCTCTTAAACCACATTAAAGTCAGGTAAATACGAGGTCAGGAAATGGACATTAGGAGCCCTGATGATAAATTCCTGTAGCATCATTTACGTCCATGCCTTCAGGAATATCTTTAGCAGACCACCTTAGAGGTTAAGAAGGTTGAGAATGTTAGTTTTGCTCCGCTCCTTGGCCAGTCTCTGTCTCTGATCTTCACTAGGGCCCGAGAAAGGGGCCTCTAAGGTGCACTCCTGGACTCGGGAGGTAGACGGTGCCAGGCAGGGCTCGGCCCCGTGATTCAGAATTACACTCTTGGTTCCTGGACACCCTGCAGATGCTGGTTGGGCAGGTGGGTCGCCTGAACTCAGAATGTTGTCCCAGTGGAATCTGGGACGGGAAACAAGCCCACAAGGGAGAAGCAGCTTCAGAATCGTCCTTTAGTACAGGGCCCTCAGAGCAGAGGACGGGAAAGCTGAGTGAGTGCGTTCTAACCTTTTAAACTAAGTTGGGAAATCTTGATCCGTGCGGGGCTCGGGCGGTGTCCGTGCGCGTCTCCCCGCGTGCGCCCCGTCCGTGCGGGGCTCGGGCGGTGTCCGTGCGCGTCTCCCCGCGTGTGCTCCGTCTGTGCGGGGCTCGGGTGATGCACCTGGACGGGCATGCGGGGACCCAGGCTCGCTCTCAGGCCAGGCACGGCACCCGCGCATAGCAGGCTTTCAGATAGAGGCCCTGTAACAGGAAAAACGTCTAAAAGAACCTGGAAACTCAATGTTAATTGTGATGATCTTGTAAAACAAAAGGTTTTTCATGCTCTAAGAACAGGAAGGTCGGGATTCTCCTGAGCAGGAAGATAATCTAACCCTGTGTTTCCTGGCACCCATCCCCAGGGCCAGGAGGTGTGCCAGGGGAAGACAGACAGGCCACCTGGTGCCAAGGTGGAGCAGAGGGCTCAGGAAATAGAGTAATTGGTGGACTTGCCATTATCCCCCGGTGGGGGGGCGGGGGCGGTGCTTCGGGGTGGATGGTCCTGCTCCGGCCACCCAGTGAGTCAGTCAGGAGTTGCAACATTGTTTCCTCGTGTGGAGTCATTCACACAATCTGGGAGTTCAAGGGGAGCAAGTCTCCAGTCATCCTTCTCTGTAACTGGAAACACGTGCGCCCTAACTTCTCCCAGGGCTCCGCTGGAGCCTGACTCCCTTTTGCTCACACTGGCGTGTTTACGACTCCGAGCTGGTTGGTCGGTTCATTCACATGATCGTCCTGCCTGGAGTCGGCGTACACACACACATACACACACTCGTGATTGTCCTGCCTGGAGGCGGCACGCACAAACATACACACACTCATGTGATCGTCCTGCCTGGAGGCGGCACACACGCCCGCACACACACACACACCTGGACACGACACACACGCTCACTCACGTGGTCACCCTGCCTGGAGGCCACACACCTACACACACACACACCCACCCCCCTCCCCGGAAGCAGCGGGATTCCCCCTGTCCAAGGGAATCTCTTCTCTGAAACACAGTCGAAGTGATCAGAGTCATTTTATTTTTCAGCCTGTCCTTGCAGAATTTCCGTCATCTAAGAATCTTCACAAAAATTCTCAAGCCTACCACAAACAGACTGTTACTCAGAAAGTCGATCAGTATCTTTCACTTACGTGCTGTTTCTGTACAATGCGAGTGGGCCCCATGGGGTTTTGTCTGTGTGGATTAAAATGTGCCTACGACTCCCTCTTTATAAAGTTGTAAGGAAGAGGCCGTGGTGGCCCTCTGCACCGGGAGATGGCAACTAAGCGTGGGAGCAGGCCTGGACATGAAGCAGCTGGCAGAGACCCCCCCAGGGGAAGCGCGCCACCCACCCACCGTCTGGGGAGAGAGCGATGCGGGCAGAGGGAACCAGACCTGGAGGGCCCCGAGGCTGGGCTGTGCCCGGGTCAACATGGGCGGGGCGGCGGGGAGGGGGAGATGGCACCGCGTCATGTCGGCTGTGTTGAAGGTGTGCAGTGCAGTGAGAAGCGAAACCATCCAACTCAGGGTTTTAGAAGGCTGGCTCTGGGGCTCCGTGGGAACACGGTCGGGGCTGGGGCAGTGGGGGATGGGCTAGAGTGGGAGCAGGGGTCCCCAGGAGGACTGCAGGCATCCAGCGTGTTCTGTCGGATGTTTGACGAGGTGGGCGTGGCTCTTTGTCATCTGGCCAGCCTCGGCTCTCACCTGCGTGAAGGGAAGGTAGTTGTGCCAGCTCGCAGTTGTCCTGAGACCCAGAGGCTGGCTGCCCACCAGGTTTGTGCCCAACGTAGTGAGGGCTCAGCTCACACTCGCCCGGTTTTTGCTTCGAGGGCTGTTGCTGCCTTTCTCCTGAGGCAACCGTTGTGAATTTCGTATGTGTTTAATCTGTGGTTTTATAGTTTTACTCCCTGTGTTTATATCCATAATGAGTATATAGAGTTCACGTGTTTGAGTCTATTTAAGCGGTGCCATTTCTGGGTGTATCGTTGAAACACTGGCTTGCTCCGCAGCGTGGTGTTGGGTTCTGTGCGTGTTGGCACCTACACGTCCAGCTGGTTCATTGCAGCCCTCGCAGTCATGACCGTGGTTTGTCGCCCACCCCCTCCTAGCGCACGCTCGCTGGTTTCTTGTTTTCACCGCGTCAGCAGTGCCCAGCAGCCGGAGTGTGTGCTTGGGTGTGGACTTGCGGGGTCACTCACACGCTTCCCCGCTGGACTTCGTTTATCCTGGTGTTACTGGAGCATTGCTTCTCACGGGAAGTCTTCCTGAACCGGGAAACTGTGGTCCCTACTTCAGATGATGACAAACCGCCGTGTGTGTGTCCGAGTAGACGGGTTAGTGGGACCCCTTGAGTGCGTGCCGCAGATGGGAACAGAGGCGTGAGAGGCACACGCCCAGGGTTTGCTTTAATCAAAAATCTGAAGAACAACCGCTGTGAAGGAAGACGTCTGTCCTGACAGACCCCAGGAGCAGGGGGCTCTGCCCGGGGTCTGGGGAGCACTGGGGTCCGTCCGGAGGGGGAGAGAGCAGGAGAAGCCCGGTGGAGCCTCTGCAGGGTTCTGCAGGAAGAAGGGGGCGAGGCAGGGCAGCAGCCTGGGCTGGAGGGTGTGCTGGGCGCCGGCTTTGGGCCTTCCTGCTTGGAACCAGCCCAGACCAGAGGGCTCCTGCCGCCTGGAGGGCAGGAGCGGAGGGGGAGCTGGTTCCGAGCTGCTGGGTTTGTCCGTGAGGGGGACTGCGTTCACCCGGGAGGGGTGGTCTCTCCAGCATCAACACAGCCCCTGAGACGTTAGAGCACCGCCATGCAGAGGGTAGGAGACGTGGGCGACACAAGTCATCCAGCGGGGACTGGGCGTGCCAAGACGGCGCACCTGGGCGCCCCTCCCCGCTCAGGCCGGCAGCCTGCAGCAGGACCTTCAGAGGCGCCACATCGGGCTCCTCCCCAGAGGCCCTGAGTGCAGGGGTGGGGCCAGCCTGGGCATCAGGACGTGCGTGGGCCCCGGGTGACGGACAGCAGGTGAGCTCGAGAAGCAGTGATGTGGGAGAGAGGACTCTGATCCCCGCTCGGTTCTCAGCGTCAGACGCAGGGCCTTGGGGGGGGGGGGGGTGTGCACCAAAGCCAGAAGAGTTGGCCAGAGACTGGAGCCCCGGGGTCACGGCCAGGGACGTCACGTAGGTTCCCGCAGAGCAAGAGAACAGGCGTCCACAGATGTCGCTGATAATCTCACAGTACTAGAACAGTGACAGTCGAGTATAATTTTTTACAACACAGGTTAACCGTTGAAAAGAATGAGATTCCTTTGTGGGGGATACATTTCACTTAATAGGGGTTCAGAGTTGTGTTCTTACCATTGAATCAAACGCAGATACTCGTCTCTGAGAGCCATACTTAGCTCACAGGCCAGACACAGTCAGAAGACAGGACGGATCTGGCCTGCAGGCCTTAATGTGCTGACCTGCCCCCACGCCCCCCACCTCGCACAGACACACGGGCCGGGTGTCTGCCTCGTCCTGCCCCGGGCCAGGCGTCCGCACCCGGGCCGGGCAGCGGTGCCTCTCCCAGTGTCTCTCTGTGGTCTCGCCCCTCGGTCCTGTGACACGCAGGAGTGTCACAGAGTGCGTCTCCCAAGAGGCCCTGGGGGCCTCGGATAAAGGGGAACGCTGGAGCGCTCCGTTTGCCAGCAGATATGAGCAGTTTTCTGAAGTCTGTCTGCTCTCTCTGCTGGGTGATGAGGCGTGTGTTAGCAGCGTCCTCCGGGCTGTTTTCTTCTTGACCGACTGTGACGGAGCCTCGCCTTTAAGCATGGGTGAACTAACCACCCAGAAAGCCACTGTCCCAGACGGGCCATTTTCGAGTTGACCCTGGCAGATTTTCAAAGATTGTTTGATAAAAAGTGACACTCAGACATTAAATTTCTCCTGCTTCTGAACTATATTTTATAATCAAACTGTACTCAAGGAAAAAACCCAACCCAAGCGACCCCCATGAAGCCTCCCTGCCCCGCTCACGACGGACCTAACCCCCTTGGCCCCACCCTGGCCCTCGCTCACAACGCTCCGCGTCCCTCTGACGTCCAGTTTCTCAAAACTGCGCCGCTCAGGGCCCCCACGTCCTGTCCACTCAGCACGCTCACCCTGCTGCTTAGCGAGTGGCCGGCTTATCCCTCTGGTCAGGCCAGCATACATGGCTCCTCAGTCGCCCTCCCCTTCTCTCCACGGAGAATTTCTTTCCTTTAGAGCCCAGATGGCAGGGTTTCTTCACTTCTCTTTCTGTGGGAAGCATTTTAGGAGACTCCTCGGCTCACAGGAAGCCTCCCACGGGCGGGGGCCCAGCCGTCCCATCTCTGCCGTGTCCTCGGTCACCCCCCGGTGTGGGCACCCGGTGTCTCGGGATGAACTGAATGGGGCTGGCAGGCCTGCTTTAGCTTTCCTGGCGGAGGGCAGGGTGTTCACCGTGTGTTCGGCTCCAGAAGTAAAAAGTCGCGGAGTCACGGGCTGTGCTCGGCCTCCTGGGGCCGCCTAAGGTGCGGCTGAGCCCCCTCGGGGACCCCTCCTGAAAGTGTGCCACACAGCCTGACGACCACGTGGGGCTGTCTGCAGGGTGCCCGACACAGCCCCCTGAGTGTTCCAGCTCCGACCCTGAAGTTCGGGCCCATGAACGCGGCAGGAAGAGGAATTGAGTTTCGCGGTGGGGGCTGTGCTTCTGAGCAGAGAGGTCGAGGGAGGCCTCCCTGGGAAGGTGGCCCTTGGGCATTAAAGACTTTCTGTTTGCAGAAGAAGTCCCCTGGAAGCTTCAGGCTGTAACTTCTGAAGCTTCTTACTTGTGAACCTGGACACAG